GACCAGCCATCGGGTCGTTTTGCCCCTTTTTATGTTTTCTTTTCCTTCGTACCTTCATTTTCCATCCTCTTGTGACTCCCTCCACACCTCCTGTTAGGCATTCGCGAGCGGCAACAACGCTCCTCGTCCTTCGTGTTGCATTGAATGAAATTGCATTCATTATGTCAATTGCTCTGCTATTCGATGAAGAGCCTCCGTCCCAAGAGGCCACTCTTCCTTTCGATTTCTCACGGAACAGCCATCACGTCACGTCACGTCGGAGCGAAAAAAATTGCGGCGTGTGTTCCGCTTAGGCTTCTTCGCGCCTATCAATATCGATCCCAGATTATACCGGGTTGTGGCAAGGAAGATATTTAGATCTCTTTCCTCGACGAGAGCACTTATATATATGAGGGATATCGGCCATGTGCACCGAAATACACGCTTACGGGTGCACTATAATATATTATCAGTCAATATTACGATCGAAATTTTACGAGAATTGACGCCAAGTTATATTTCCGAGCGCGTGAAATTTTATCTGAGGAGGCAAGACCAATTTGGCGAATTACCGAAAGTGTAGAATTCAATTTTCAATGACAGGGTGGATGATTGATGTTTTGAGGATGAGGCGAGCGTCTTTGTCGATAGCGTGAACGGGCGAATCTGCGTAAGCTACGACCGTAAGATCCATCCTGCGGATGCACATTTTCTTTCTCAGAAATAAAACAGTAGTAGCAAGCCCCAGAGCCCAAACAGATTACATTGACGACCGATTGAAACTGGATGATTCGCTAAAAAAAAGCCCTCACGCACCTTTTGTAGAACCACTCCCGTCTATCGCGCCTGCTATGATTACTTTGAAGTCATATCGGAATCTTTCGACTTCGTTGGCTTCGACGAATTGCGATCGATTGGTTCTTGACGATCAATAACGTCAGAGTTCGCAATTTCTGTCGAGAAATACTCATAAATTAAACTGTTAAATGGAAGGAAGAGGGAAATTGCAAATATATCTAAGGGTAAGATTAAATAAAGCCAATGATTATTTATCAATCAATAGAAGTTTTTTCAAAAGATACTCTAGTTATTTTTAAATTACAATAATCAACATTCCTGTACTATCAACATAAACTATACTTTTAAATAAAAATGTTTATAATTGATAAATCGCCTATATCGGATGCAAGAAATGAAATTGCCATTATTCTAATATACTGCAATAGTATTGTTCGCGTTTTACCCCGCAATCTCCCACTTTCCCCTATATTATATATGCATTTATAAAATATATATAAATCATATATATAATGATGATGACAAAATAACAAAAATACGAGAATCTTTAAACACACGTGATTAGATTCGCATTTGAGTGATTAAATTTGCAAAATCTAATAATATCCTTTTTTTAATAACGAACGCAACGAATGAAGAAAATAAAAGCGCTGTCATTTCCGGAGAACGTCGCTATACCCGAGACATATCGCATCGGCATTGCCTTCGGGATATGTCACAGAGAGATCGAAGATTGCGCCAGCAGGATGGGATGGGATGGGAACATACCCTTTCTGGACAATCAAACGCGCGGGACGAGACGGAGAGATAAACGTGCGACGGCTGAAGGGGTGAGGTGGGCTGAAGGGTGAGCTTCTGTCGCGGAAATACTCAGACGGGGACCGATTCCCTTAATAATGCGCTCGAGAAATGTGCCGAGGCGGCGCGGGCGCGCTCTCCTGACGTCTTCCTCGTTATTCCTTGCCTCGATCTACTTTGTTTAGGTGGATTTTCTGTTTACAATCTTGTTAGCCACTTAGGTATCTTCCATCGCGAGAAGAAAATTTTGTTTCAAAACTACGCTACAAGACATTCCTCACAACAATTATGAAATTCCGGGTTATTTCCATAGACATTTATGATGACGTGTATATACCTACGTTATCTTGCCGCAACTGTGCAGCAACTATTTATTCCAGTTTTCCCTCTTTCTTTCTTTCTTTTTTTAATCTCACTTTGTCAAGAGCAATTCAATTTTTTTTTTCGCATTAATATCGTGGGACCAGAGTGTCGCCATAATATCTTGTCTTCGTTTTTGCCGTCATCATCATGTGTCTGCGTCGCTAAAGCGTAATTAGCACGCCGATAGCAAGCCGTGATAAAGATAATCGAGCAGCGGCCTGCAAATTGCTTTCCACGTCCGGGAGCGACGTTGATAATTAAATAACATCCTTACGTCGGGCGTAATTCGATTGCTTTCAGGATAAACGCGTAACGGATGAGAATCAGAGAGAAAGGGAAGCGACACGGCGAGGAATGAAAGCAATTCTAACGGCAATTCTAATAATAAAGACTGTTGGGAGACATTATAGTTGGAAAACGTCTGTTGTCTCACACATTTAATCATTATTATCCACGGTTATCTGCTGACGAATAAAGAGCGGGGTTAAATCCAAGCGGCATAATGACGTCCAAGACATCGTTGGATTCGTCGTTATCTGAAGGACGATTACTTAAGTCGACTTAAGAACAGCCTAATGTAGAACGGTCTGAAAGCTTTGAGCAGTGCACAATTTCTCGCGCGTCGTTCTTCGGTTAATGAATAAATTTCGCATGCGTGTGTCGGTCGAAACCATTCGGTGCAACCGCCATGTCGGTGGATGTATGGCGACGAGGGTTGGAATTCGAGACCTTAGCAGACCGGAGGTCGGTCGACGAGTCTTCCACCACGCCTTTTCCGCGTATTCGCGTAACCGCGTCTGGCAGTTTCCTTAAGCAAACCATAAGTTTGCGCGGTGCACCTTGCTCAAACTTTCGTCGGGTATCGTTTCAGCGAGGACGGTAATGACACCAATGTCAACTCCGGCAAATACATATAGTCCGCATCCACGCAGACACGAGGCACGAAAGGAAACATCGCGATATGGCAATTACGTAAATATTAAAACATCTCTGCTATTTAGCTTGCCTTGGAAAGAGACCTTGAATTGCTTTGAAAGAAAGAAAAAGATTTTTATTTAAAGAATTGGCATTCCTCATTATTAATGTTATTGGAAATCGAGACGCCATTCGGAAGCTTCTAATTACGTTTAATTTATAAGTATATATGGCCAGCGTAATAGTGAATATATTTTATGATATATCATATATCTGTCCGCGCACTTTTCACGTTCTCCGACATCTTATTACAATGCATCTTGTCATCCGAAAGAAATAAGAGGATGTACCTCTGTGACGACGAGGAGAGCTGTGACGTTTCGTATTCGTCTCGTCATGATGTCGCTTCGGTTATTCCTTGATGATGACAGCAGCAGCGGTGGCGAGAAAAAAGAAGAAAAAATGAAATAAAGAGAAAAACCTCCATACCATGAATGCTACATCTGTAGTCTCCTGATGGGTATCGAATGGGAAGACGAACGTATAAGCAAGTCGCTCGAGCAGCTGTTTCGAACGAATCGACCGCTTTTTATATGCCTCGTAGAATGCCATGCTATTACCGTTTGATATGCGAATATTCTACTTGTCAAATTTCAATTTTCGATAAATTATTTTAGATGGAATATTATTATTTTTTATATATAAAATTTAATAAAAATATGAAATTAAAAGTTTTTTAGTTTTAGCAGTTTTGCAATTTTGAGAAATTATTATATTAATTACAAACCTATTTATATTCAATTCTATAATTGTCTAGGATAAAATAATATAAATGTTATATTGAATATAATGTTGTTTAAGTAAATACATTAAAAAGAGTAATGTCAAGAGTAACATATTAAATTCAGAATATCCAGGTATAAACAAATAAATTCAGAATTCCAGTTATAAACAGAAAGACATAAAAAATCAGACGTCGGGTTGGCTTTCCTTATTGTAGGACATTCTTATAATAAGGAAGCATAATTATATTGTCATCTCTCGAGAAGCGAGGGCTCTTAGACTCTGCTTGAAGCTGCACGAAGTACATTACATCAAATTACGCCCTCTCGCCGTCGTTTGCTTCCTTAAAGTTATCGTATTGAAATGCCTTGTTACGAGCATTCACAAACAAGATTGCCGCAGACGTTGAAAATTTCAACGTCGAAGACATAATATGTTTCCTTCGTACTGTTAATTTATAATTACTCGGAAATTTGATATGATTCTGAGACTTTTTTTTTCTAAATGTGACTTTAAGACACACCGTGTACAATTATAAAAACTTCGAGACTATGAAGAGATATCTATGGATTGGTCCGTAGAGGGAAAGTGGTAAAGATTGCGCTAGCGTCCTTTATCGAACAACGCCCCGTGCGTTACCGTAATTATACCGGAGATCCCCTTTTGTGGCTCCAGCCACATCAACCTTGCCTTTTCAAGACAATGAACCGCGTCTCCGACGAGAAACATTCTTGCGTGGAGTCCGCTCTCTGAATTATACCGCGTAGCTTGCCAACTTTTCAATTTCGAAATTGGACGACCGCTTCAAAGTTGCAGGAGGCTCGATCTTTCCAATAGAGAGAACTCGGATGAAGTGGATGCTAGCCCCTTCTAAATACGTGAACGAAATTGTATATAAACGTATCATCGCATTTTTGCTTCACTGCGTTTTTCGTTCGGTAGTGAATACGTTTGTCGCCAAAGATGATGTTGCATACGACAAAAATTTTATATAATTCATTAAAACAAAAAATATTAAAAATACAAAAACGAAAAAATATTAATACATACAAGCTACTTTTTAAGCTATTAAAATAATTATTTAAATATTATAGTTAAAATACGTCGAGAAATCTCATCTTTATCTCTTTTAAGGATTGCTTTATTGCATAAGAGTCTATATATGTGCGTACGTTGGATACATTCTGTATATGAATCCTAAATTCAAAAGCTGAGTGCATCCTACGTGTATACCCTGGATTTAAACTTTATCAGCATCGGATTTGTATTTTAATGAAACAAACGCTGCGCATATGGATATTATTGTGTTCGTTGGAAATTTTATTCTGCTGCTACATGCACGACTTCTGATCTGTTTGTTTCAGTACAGCGATCGATTCACGCCCGTTCTCCTGATAGTCTCGCTTGCGGGGATTAAAGTATGCAGTCCAGATGGAAAAGTGAGTACTACAGATGCACATACAGATACTCCCGCGGAAAAAGATACCTCGCGTTTGTGCACGGACGTTGTTATAGAGAAACCGTCTTGCTGCCCTGCGGCATCTTCCAAGACGCAAATTCATCCCTGGGAATTTCGCGCGAAAAGTTCGCCTCTCTTTTTTCGTGACTGCGTCCCACAGCATTACCTTTGGATGCCGGAATAGAAAAAAAAATATTATTAAAAAACAACCACTTTTATTTTCGTTTTTAATTATAAACCACTGTGTTTAAACAGTACTTAGTTCTAAATATCTTTGTTACGATTCTTAACCAGAAAAAAATAAGATCGTTACGAGAAAGGCGCTATGATTCACTATATTGATTAGGAAGAATTTCTGAAAGGAGAATTGCTTGCGTACATTTGCGTTGCGTGTTAACGGTTCAGAAACATAAACGAGTCTTCATAAAGGTCCTCGTTAAAAGAGGGTTGAGCTTTCACAGGATGGTAGGACGGAAGTTAAACTGCGATGTGAGAAGCCTAATTTTCCGCGTTCTTGAGCACCGAGTTCGATAATCCTTGTGATACTTGTAAGATCTCCCTTTCAGGTCGACCTTGGGACGCCAATCTTTCAATACTATAACGAAAAGGCTGTGCTTTTGAAATATTTATACGATGAGAATAATAAACGATCGAAAAGGATAATAAAATAATTAAATTAAGACAAATACTAAGAGCGAGAAAGTTGTGATTACGCAAGACATCTCAATTATTTATTTTAATCACTTTTAATTTTAATCCTCATGGCGTGTAATGCAAGGAAATCAAACAAAATTAATTTTTAACGGTAAACTTATTGTAATTGAAAATTTCACCGATTACTGTAAATCAAAATTCATTGCACTCTGACGCGAAGATTAAATTGAAAAATATCTAGATATTTCTTCTCCAAATCCAACCAGATATAAAACGTCACATCGTGAGAAGGGGCAGAACGAGAGTAATCTCGCTGCTGTTCGTCTTTTATTATTTTCCGGACTTTAATTGGGGCCCCGTAATCCTTATCGCATCCCTGCCAGTAATATTTCGAAGTTGGCTCGCTCATGCACCAACCACCCTCGCGCGATCCGTACCCGCCGTGTTCACGAACTGTACAGAACATATCGATCCTTCGAATTAGTGTTTTATTTCGAGGGCTTCTCCTAAGCTTCCGCTTTAATTTTCTACCTGAAAAAATCCTTACTTTCTATCCGCGATCTTCGGTAAGCGCTTCTTAAAAGAGCTCTCGTGGAACGTTTATCATGGCGGATGAGAAACGAAACGTCTACCTCCTCCTCGAGAAAATCTCGATTCGCTCACGTCGATTACGTCAGAATTTACAGTCATTCTTTGTATCCAAGCCTCTCTAAATTGTTTACAACTTGTGTAGATATTTTACGTGAGATGCTTTACGTTAAAAAAGGAATAAATGTACGTAAAAGTGACAATTTTTTTTTAATAATTAAATTATTATTTATTGACATTATAACAAAGGTCAGGTAATTACGTGAAAAAATGCATCAAAATTTCCAGTTATTTCAGATACGCTTGCACGTTTCTCGCGTAACACATATTTAATAATGATAAAATGATATTAGTACTTGTTCGAACTACCATATTCAGCAAAGGAATAATTGCCGATTTTCATGTTACGAACTGGAAGATATGAGGAAACTTTCTACGACCATGCCGAATGCACGTGACTGTATTAGATGATTAAGATGCGAAACTGGAAACTTGGGGAGTCTAATTAAACTACGTACGATCAACGCGTTTAGATAAACCATACGAGATTGGCCTTATTCAATAAAAACTATATTGGCTTAATTAACACAATTTAATTATAAAAAGTGTTTCGAACGTTTGATTTGAATGTTGCATTTGTTTTCCTACTGAATTTGTTTATCATACCGTATAATTCATGTCAAGCGTATCTCTTTACGCTCGAGTTCCTGTTGCACAAAATCGCGATTATCCCAAATCGTTCATGCACCATGCAAGTGGTTCATTCTCTGATGGACGCGCCGTCATGTATATAACTCGTTAGAAAAATCGACAATCTACGAAAAACATTCTCGATCATTCTCGACATCGTGACGAGAAAGGGACGCGACATCCTGATGGTGATCATTAAATTACAGGGGGAGTGAGATGTCAATGAAATGCACACAGAGAGATTTGGTGATTGTCGAGTTGGGGTTGTTGGGTAAACGTATACGATGACGAATGGTGCCAATCTTTGTGAATGCAAGAGAAAATGGAGGGAGGGGAGAGAGAGAGATGGAAAGAGCAATGTGCCGTATACTCCGCCGCGATCGGGAGGGATGTATTTACCCTCCATCTGTGGATTTACTCGTGCATACATGGAAGAGCACTCCACGATGATACGCATTTCTCTCGCCCATATCACCCAACCACATCGAACAGAGTGTCCACACCAATGTTTCACCGATGCGATGCCGCGAAGGAGGTACGGCCGCTGCTAATAATCCTCCGTTCCTTTAGCCCCATTAAACCCTTTGCCTCGCGAAGCGTTAAAAAAATTCCTACGACCCCTCCTGTATGTACCCCCAAAGTGTGCGCTCCCGTGATTTCGCGACATTCGAGTGGCTTTGAACGCTCCAAACTTACGCTTTGTACGTCAAGCCAACCGGTTACCATGGCATCGCTTTGCTTAGATTACACGAGTTTTCAGCATACACGCGTTTGACTTCGACGGTTATTTTAGGAGCACGAGGTGTCCCGGTAAACACTTGTTTTCGGACAATTTTTATGTGTGCGCGTGGATCACTGTAATGACATATATAAATTAAAAATTCGCTTGTATACGATTGTACTCTTTCAATAATTCTATTATCGTGGAATAAAATCACGCTACGCTGGATAAAGTAAACCGGGGAATAAACGAGTCGGTTGCGGAAACGCGCGTATTGTTACGGAAGATCAACGACGAACGGCTCGTGTAATTTTTGAACTCATACATTTGCCGCGATCACAGGATATGTTTATCCTTTACCTGCGGATTTACTCGTGCATACACGAAACAGCACTCACGTTGCAGCGCGTATCTCTTTTGCATATCTCTCACCCTCCTGCCGCACGGCCGATATCCATAGGGAATATCCTTTCACGATATTCGTCATAAAACGGACAACACATCGCTCATTCAGATATAAGAAAAATTTCCATTCTTACTTTTAACTCTAAAAACGAACAGAAAGTGAGAGGACAGAATAACTATGCGATTTTTATATTTTATTTAATAGAAATTTTAATACGTGAATTAGATAAGAGAGAGAGATCACATAAATGTGAAAAAAATTATCAATTTATCCTTCCTTCGACAGCGATTACTCGTTCACGTGCAATCTTAGGAAAGAAAACCGGAGCAGCATCCGGAAACTGGGGGTCATAAAATTTTTTACTGCAACCGAGAGCTTAACCCAACCCTGCCTTAAAATTTTTACTGGAGCCGAACACAAAATCGAACACTTAAACATTTAGAGGTCTCCCATCTGCGCTACAAATACGACTAAAAGATACATTTAGTACCGTCTGTGGGGAACATTATTATTATTTATAAGCATGTATATTCGTGCATAAGTGAACTTTTGAAGTTCAACGTGTTTATCTGCGTCGTTAAAAGAATTACGCGGAAAAAACAGAATCCCGTGATAAAGAGTAAGTCTGACGAGAGGTTCTCCTCTAGGATAACAAACAATTGATTTTTTTTTTATTTTTACAGTTATTTCACTGAAAATGAAAGGCGGAGAATTCTTTTGAGATGCACTCGTTTGTCATAAATAAATCTTCGGCTTGCAACGGATGACTCCCTCGTTGCAAGAGATACTTTTACGTTCACAATCGGATTTCGCGATTTGCTGGAAATCTCCGATTCCAGGTATTCTCGGAGCGGGACAATAGGTAGGGGTTCAAATAACCGACGCAAGTGCTGCAGCGACGTATTCCATTGCAAAGGCGCAAAAGCGAGTAAAGACGGGAGCGGGTGAATAACGACGTCAGTGTCTTCCCGTGGAATATGACAAACTCGACGAAATCCTCTGTAGGATGTCGTTTGTCGTACCAGAAGCGATTGGTAACGCGCATAGTTGGTTCACTTCTCGTGTTACAGGGTGATTCTCGGTCCGTAACAACTTTGCGCTACGCAACTATGTTTCGAGTGGACCGGCACAGTCAGAAACTTCGCGTAACGTACTTCAATCGAATTTTTAACGAATTGCATTTTAACTTCCGGGTGAAAAGCCAAATCGAGCAGGTAACTTTGCGTGGTGTGCTTTAGTGTAGTTGCTAACAAATTAGATCGCACTTGTACAAGCTAAAATAAACTGATTAGATCAATAGCCGATTAGTCAAATATATACGCGATTTTAACGTTTGAAGCGTTTACGTCAACGATTATTGCATTATATACAGAAAAAAGATTATTCTTAAATCAACCATAATATATTCATATATAAGCAAAAATATTATAATCTTGCTTCAAAGATATTAATCTTGACTTGATTAAATTTGTTTTGATGCAAGTATTACTTTGCACTTGATTCAAAACTTGCTTAATTAAAAATCTTATATCAATACAAATTCAATAAAATCAAGATTGATATCTTTGAAGCAAGATTATAATATTTTTGCTTATATATGAACATATTATGGTTGATTTAAGAATAGTCTTTTTTTCTGTGTAGTCATTATTTTTTTCAAAAATATAATTTTCCATTAAGTTTCATAATGAGAACATGATTGTTAATATTATCGAAATTCTTGTTGTTATATCTCATTATAAACGCGATTGTTATTCGCGCAATAATTAAAAGAGTTTTTCTATTCGTTGAGTACAATTTCAAACAGTAGCTCTTAAGAGGGCCTGTTGAAATAATGTCCATCCAAGAAGCATAAGTATAGCAAGCAGCTTTTTCACTGAGCCGAGTCATTTATATCTTTCTCACGTAGAACTTTGCTACTTGGAGCAAATGCAGGTACCATGAAAAATTCAGCACGAAACTTGATAGAATCGCGGAGTATCCTTGGCAGAAAATTTGCTCCTACAGTACGATCATCTTTTCAATCACCATTCTACTCGTCCGCATGCTCTGCCATGCTTACCTCTGCGTGAGAACGAATTTAAACAAGTATCCTATCTTGAAAGTTTGAGGATGAAATCGTGTTTCTCTTTAAGATTGAGAATTGAAGTGCAATAATGGCTTAAGCCAAAAACGCTACTTTGAGAATAGGAGTTTTAAATTTTAAAGACCAACAATAGCAAGAATGTGAGTTTCAGTAAAAATGTGAGTTAAGAGAGAAAACGTTTGATATTATTTTTCAAATAAATTTTTTATTTAAATTGCAAAAATAACTCAATCGCAAAAAAATTGCCGTTGTACAGAAATGCGTAGCCTCTTTTACACACAGAAAAGCTTTTATACGTGCTGCAGCAACTACAATCTCTACAAGCTTTACAATCAGTACTGCGTTTATGTAGTATGCACAAGAGCATGGTGCCGCGACACAATGGACATATAAATATTAATAGAACGTGCGAGCGGAAACTGTAAACATGCTCGATGTAATTTTACAGGACTAGGTAATAAAATATCAACAGTTCACGAAGTGTCATTGTGAGGATATAAAATTCTTGGCTAAAATTATTGGCGAAATTTCACAGAAAGCTCTTTCGGAGACGAAAATACGAAGATTTTGCTCATTGAAATTTTATTTGTATTGGTTGCCAAATTTATAGACAACATTAAAAATTTACGTCCCAGAATGAGAACAGTGTTTAAATTCGGCGCGAGTTGAGGCGAAAATACATTCTGCTTCATATGAACTACTATCTTATTATTGAAGAAAATCTATACGTATCTTATGACGATGTATTTAAATTAGGATTTATTTTTTGATGAAAATTTTCTTTACAATTCTGAAAAACAAGAATTTTTTAAAGTTTCTACTTAGATTAGTCTAGAAACAGTATCTGCGAAATTATGATCGAAGTCGATTTATAAAATCAACGATAAAATTTATGTTGAAACTTATAAGCATCTCGCGAATGAAGTCTTAATAAATCATTAAAAGTTTTAGAACATAAATTTAAGCAAAAACCTCGCAAGTGTTTCAAGTAGCCAATAATTGGACGCAATTTCTTTCTCTTAATTCTTATTACTTGATCGAATCATCCAACGTGGCAATATTATGCAATTATGAAGCTACTTCGGTGCACGTAAAAGCACGTAAAAATATTAGAAAGAAAAAGCTAGAAATTTATGTATAAGTATATTTTATTTAATTGTGCTAAAGTAGAGCTAATATCTTAATTGGCATCATTCTGTGCCTAATTATTTTTCTACCGGTGTTACACTTCTATTCGTATCATTTAATTATCTCATTCTACACCCCTCAATTTTGGCTCACGCGATATTCTCTACGGTTGCTAACAAGCCATATATAGTAAGTGATATTTATGACGATATCCTGTTTAATGAGGACGCTAGTTTCTTGCACGGGTCTTAACACGTACGCAACATTTCACAGCGGAATTGATTTAAACGATTAAATCACTCAACAGGATGAGAGCAATGATAAAACGCTCGTAAATCATTTTTGTTTGCATTCAATACAAGGCAGAAGGCTCACTCTCGAAAATATCTCGGAAATTGTCAGTCAGAGACAATTTGAATTATTTTTCACTGCGTTGCAAAAAATGATGAATTTCAATATCATAAATAAAATATTGTAGTTTTATTTAAGTGCATTTTATTAAGTAGTAATTATATCAATAAGTTTAAGTAATTATTATATATTATTTAACAGAAAAAAGAATTAAAAAGTTATTACTTATCTTTAATTCTAAAATGTGCAGGAAATAATACATTTTCTTTTAAAAAATAAGAAATTTGGTATTTTCAAAGTGCATTCTCTCTCTCTCTCTCTCTCTCAAGTATATCTCATATTTATTATTATTTTTTTTTGCTCCAATATCAAAACGTTCTTCTTATGAGCAGTCTCTCAAGATTGGTTTTTTTATTTCTGTTACAGTGCGTGCAAATGGCGCACGCGTTAAGACGCATCTTTTACGCGACTTGTGAGCCGCAGCACGCCCAATTCAGCTTTCTGGCGCGAGAGCCCGGGGCCCACTTCAGCCTGCAATATTGTCATTCTTTTATCACCGAGTCTGCAGAACAGGTCAGTAAAATGCGACTTTCTCTTTAATATTTCCTTCTTTCGTGGCATATTCCTGTCTCTGAGGAAGATTGGAATATCTGAGAGACGTGTTAATTATGTAGGTCACATACTGAAGTTTCCATAAAAAGAGATAGATTTTTAATTCCTAAAAATGGAGCAGTAATAGAAAATGTCTAAATGATGAAAAATATACATTAATGCAGACGCATATAGAACGAATAGAAACATAAAGTGTTTGAAATATTTTTAAAATATTTTACTGACGTTCGCGAAGTATCTTAAATAATTGAGTTAATATAAATCGTCGGAACTAAACTGGGATTTTCGCCCAAGATATTGTACGTGACAGGTCGGCCCTTCCCAGTGGACAACCGCGTGCGTCTCAAGTGGAAACTGGAAACAATCTCGTCGTTTAAAGCTGATGGATCGCTTCCCTTTACTCTCGACAACTCTGCCAGCATTTAGAGCCAAGTCGCACGCGTAATAGACAAAATTTAAATTGAAATTACAAAATACACAACCAGATTCTTGTCTTAATTGTAATTCGGTATCAGTACGCTCCTCGCCCTGATGAAGTGAACGGTAAGGTTCACGAAATGTTGGTATTAGCAATGGATAAAAATACGGTAATAACCCACAAACCTTCTTGTATTTTTAAATATAATACCTTTGAAGATAATTGAAAGCTTAAAAAGTGTCGAGAATTCTTTCTACACGAATTAACGAATCTACTGTATTCATTGCTCTAATTCTCGTATAACAAAATGAATTTATATTCGTAATACAATAATTAATAATATTCGTAATATTCCAATACGATCGATTTGTCTGCGAATTCATGCATCTGGAGCAATGTATTTCATCTTCGCTTTAACTTATTAATACTATTACAAATTTCACCAGTGTATCACATTTATCGAAAGTCATAACAACCGGGTGTAAAGCAGGAGGAACGTGCTTCGGTACTAAGACCAGCGAATACACGGGGAAATATCGTCTCGAACGTCGATACACTGACAACTACCGAATCCCAGGATCTAAAAGCCTCTTTCTGTTGTCTGGAAGATAACATCGCCCGAGGCTTCGAGGTCCGTCGACGATATCAGAAAGGATAGAGCCGTAAGTTGGCGGAGCTTTAGTGAGTTGAGAATAGTAGACTTTGCACTTGGAACTTTGCACTTTGCCATTGCCTTGACATTTAGTCAACCCTAATGGCGCACTCTTCGGATTAAACTTTAAATACCTTCCGCGCCGAATTAAGAACGTCATCGTTCTTGAAGGTCTCGGATCAAGTATGCTTACTCTGATAGCACAGTCGAGAGGATTGCGAGAATAGGCGAAAAATGAAGAACTTCGAAGGTTTCCACGTTCATTGAAGCGGTTGACACCACATTTTTCACTTTCCAACCAATTTCTACGCTCTCTGCCAGGTGATTTATCAACATATGATCCACATCGAAGGGGATATAAAAGTTTAAAATGGTCTTTTTAAAGGAAAATAAAAAAAGAAATGTATATGAATCCTTTTGATATTTTCTTTATTGAGCCAAAGGACTAAATCCAATACACATACATACACAACTGGCTGTAATTCTAACTGTTGTTATGTATCTAACGATTTTGTGAAAGTTCTGACTAATTCGAGATTCCGTAATTCGTTACGGACTTTAACTGACCTTGAAGAACGCTTTAAAATGTACGTTAAGTAGATACAGGTACCTGCGGCAGGTACAGACATTCCAAAGGAGGTATACGAGCATTCTAGGTATAGGTTGCTTGTTGGAAGAAATATCTAATGAAGAGATACAGGGTATTCCAAAACGTATTTAGGTGTGAAAAATAGAGGTATTTACTCCTAAGTACTTCACCGGACATGACGCGAGCCTCGAGTCAGAACCGAAGTCTGCGATCGAGCGGCTCGTCGCGCTGACGGCAGGTCAAAGAACGCGAATCGCAAACTCATGCGCTTCGTACGGCGCTGGCTCTCTGTCGAGTGGCGTTCTCAGTCGTGGCAGGGTAAAAAGAGTAAGAAGCCCCCCCTCCCTCTTGGAAAAGATCATGAGAGGGACAGAGAGCGACAGGCAGAGCGGGAAAGACTACAGCTGCCGTTGAACGTGTTCAATGCCGCGGTTGAAGCAAGAAAGCGGTCGGTCGGTCGGTCGCACCGCTCGGCTTCTCACAAATCGCGGTGGGGATGGAACCGTGTGGGCCGGCCAGAGCGGTGCTCTCGCTTCGTGTTCCTCGTGGACTTCAGTCTTTCTCTATACGTACCGGGAGATATTGCCATCGCCGGGCCGGTTAAGCACGGCGGTATCCATACTTTGCGGCTTTGCGAGCTCCCACCTCGCGAAAAGCAGCAGACGACTGTACCAGGACCAGATAACGTATAACGAAGAGGACAAGAAGAGAACTGAACGAGGAACTCGCCAACTGAAGGTTCACCCGGTGATATCTCATCCTGTTGACACCAGAAAGAACGCGCGTGAACCGGGCCTCGTGCCTCTTTGAACGGTCCAAACCTAGCGGATGACTCACTGCTCTTCGCTTGCGTGAGTTTCCACTTCCGCAATGATGCTGGTTCGACTTAATAGATTGACGAAATAGTGAAAGATCGTGATATCGAATTTGCGTATAGAATTTTGTATTATTTATGAATATAGTGTATTTGTTTCACTGGCCTGATTTCTATAAAAATATATAAATCAGAAGTTTCAAAGAAAAGAGGGAAGGGATACGCATGATTCACCATTGAGTACCGCCAAAGATAAGCAAAAGACGCAAAATTCCATCTGGAAACTTTCTAAAGATTGCTCAATCGTAGCTTTTCCTTCGGCGTCACGATTCCAGACTCCGGAGTAGGAACAATTAGGAGGGAGTTGTTCGTGCGAATATGTCGGGTACGATCGCGACGTCGGTAAGAGAGGTCGATGTCGTCCCCGCAGCAAGTCCATCGGAAAATGTAGAAGGACGCAGTCGAAGCGACTGCGTGTGTGGTTGACAGACGACAAGTAAGAAGCGAGAAGCGACGCGGTACTCGTTAACCGGTTTCCGCGGGTCGGCATGCAGAGCGACACGTAGCCGGGGCTACGCACGCCATCAAGAGTGGCTCTTGGATCCTCCGTGCGTGTGTCGCACGTAGGATTGGAATCCCACAGGGTCTCACGACATCACGATCATCGTCACTTGCTAATATCACACCTTCTCACGGGAGACACGGGAGATCTGCTGCCGCAGGGGAAGAAGCCAGTTTCACGTCGACAACGGACTCTCGACAGCTTTGCGCAATGGAGGTACCTTCGGTGCCACTGTATTTCCGTTACCAAACGGATATCGGCGTCTCCAGTCGTGTTAGCTGTCCGAGAATCGAGTGGTGCTCATCCACGTGTTGCTACGAAATATAGATTGAAACTTCATAATTTCAATAGGCGCTTGACTCCGCGATAGGTGTCGGTATCGTCGAAGGGATACCTTCGGAGAAAGGTGTTGGATGCGGCAAACATTTTAGCACGCCGACGTGCCGGTGCCTCGTGCATTAGAAAGTGCGCCGCATAGTGTCGTGAATGTGTGACCGGAAATGTGTGGAATGTTGATGTTAGAAATGCGAATAACTGGTGTGCACTGTGTGATGGTACAATCCTTCCTGGATGTAACAACAATGTCGAATTGTTATTAAGTCTGGATAAAAGCCGATCGCTTCTTCGCGTGCGGTCAGTGTTTGGGGAAAAAATATCTTCTTTCGTAAAAGTTAAGGGTAGCCAGAAGGTGCGATTTGGAAAGTGCAACGGTCGCTGTGGCATGAGGAGGCTTGCACGCAGACGCAATATCCTGACCGCATTCTTTGCGATTATGGGACGCCTTGGTAAAGGCTCGCAGAGCACAACGAGGCCCATTTTCAGGGTGCATTATCGCAAACTTGTGGACGAATATTCGCAGCAGGAACAATTGAAGTTTATGCCCGCGCTACCTGACTACATGTCGTATTGCTGTTGCCGATGTGGTCACACTCAAAAGCTCAAAGTGAGTTCTATCTGAAACCAGATCATGCTAATTTAAAATTCATGCAACGTTCGTGTTCGGTCCATTTATTCGTTTTCTCTTTGAGTAATAGAAGTTTGAATAATTCGTTTTTATTCATCTAGTAGGATAATTTCCGCTTCTAAACGATTGCAAATTCCAGTTCTAACTGATCCGATATGCATAATAAGACGATCTGGATATCGCCTTGACTTCATGGCGTAGACTTTACCTCTTGCGATATTAACGGATCGCGATTAGGTCGCGGTACCGCAACATGACCTCGGAGATATGGTCGATGCAGCGGTTAAAAAAAGGAAAAGAAGTGAAACGGTCTTCTATTGCTTTAGATTATAAAATATGGTCATTAATATTTAGTAGTCGCATAGCTCTTCAAATTACTCGGTATCTTTTCAATGCGAAAATACCATGTCCGATCCAAAAGTAAAATTGGAGGAGGGAGAGAGGGGGGGGGAGAGATGTAATTCAACTAAGAATTAGTTACAATTTTCAAATGGAAATTGTTCTCTAACTTCCAGTCGTTCAACTTTCTAACACCTATGTTTATCGGTCAGAGTTGTCTAATTCATTAATCAACGTATTTATCTGTTTCTTTAAGATTTGAAAGAAAATGGTCCAGGTTTGATATTCACATTCCAAGATTTGTTAAAAGAGAGCCATCGAGTCGGTAGATTGCATACTGCAGTCTGAGAGAACATGAGAGAAAGAGAGAGAGATGGAGAGAGGGGGAGAGAGAGAGAAAGAGAGAGAGAGAGAGAGAGAGAGAGAGAGAGAGAGAGAGCCTAAGCCCGGTAATACTACTATCGCGTACCAGAAAGAAAAAGAGCTAACGAGGGAAGGGAGAGTGAAGGGGGATAAGCCGTGGGATCGGACGAACGCATTCCTCGGCTTCATATAGCTGCTTGTAGCGCGAGATGCCTTGCTGCTTCGCTCGTCGGCTCCTTACCGATGGAGTGTCTACACAG